TTTGTCACCCAGGCTAGAGCGTAGTAGCGCAATCTCGGCTCACTGCAACCTCCACTTCCCAGGTCTAAGCGATTCTCCTACCTCAGCCTTCCAAGTAGCTAGGAATACAGGCACCTGCCACCATGCCCAGCTAATCTGTGTATTTTTTAGTAGAGATGGGGTTTTACCATGTTGACCAGGCTGGTCTCAAACTCCTGACCTCAGATGATCCTTCCACCTGAGCCTCCCAGAGTGCTGAGATTACAGGCGTAAGCCACCATGCCTGGCCTTAGATTTCCTTTTTATTATATCTTTTTTGCAGCATCTCCTTATACTAGTCCAAATTTCCTGGATAATATAATCTATTATGTATAACTTAAGAAAATCAGTGTAATGCCTTACCCATAGTATAAAGAGAAAATTTGTACATGATAATGCATAATTTCAAAATGTTAATGGCCCAGGCGTGACTTTGCTATTAAGATGAATATATTTCCAAAGGGGTAGTAAAGAGTATTTGGTGATTATTGTCTGTATATCCCAAATCTAAAACTTTCACTTTTGAGCTCTGAGTCTGTATATCCAATGACAGATGAAACCCATGTGTCTCAATAACTCACTTTGTTATCTTCCCATCCAATCTGTTTATCTTTCTAAAGTTCCTCTTTTAGTGAATGATACCACTCATTTATTCACCCAAGGTAGAATATGTCTTAACTCCTTTCTTCCTTGCATTGTATATCGGATACCAAGTCTTGCTAGATTTTACCTATTTAATTTCTCCGGAATTTATCTTTTCCATGCCTTAGTTTAGGCTTAAATACTTTTTAGTTTGTATTATTGCAGTTGTCTAATATTGGTTTTCCTGTCTCTGCCCTCTTTTTCTTTTATTTTGCCAGAGTGATTTGTCACTCTTGTGCTTAAAATTACCATATAGGGGTTCATTATTGCCCTCTGGACATACTATTTTCTGTGAGCTAGAAATCAGTTTTATTTCTTGGACTAAAACCCTTTTTAATAGTGACCGGCTGCAGCAGTTACCTTAGGGAAGATTCTGAAGTATCTGCTGGAAGAATGCAGTCATGAGGGAATGACGGCATGAGTCCTGCTTTGGCTAGATGCACAGGATCCTTTACAGTCTGAACCTGACTACGTTCCAGTAATAATGAACTGGTTGTGGTTTACTGCAACAGGAACTGTTAGTTTGCTTTTGGATACTTTTTCATATGGCGTTTTTCTGGTCTGGAATGGCCTTTCCTAGCCCTATTTTCACATTATTCTACAAAATATTCCTGATTCTTTGCTCCTCAGACCCTCCCTGTTTCTGCGGAGTAATGTCTGTCTGTCTGTCTGCTAATTTAATGTCTTTAATTATATTTTACTCTTCTACATTAAAGTTGAATTATTTTATTTACATCTGCAACATTTAGTGTGAAGGTGACACCTGGGAAATACATGTTTAATGTTTATTAAAAGGTTAAATTGCATAAGGGTTTTTGTTAGACTTATAGCATTATCTACTGAATAGCCTTCTCTCCTCCCTACCAACCCCAGTTTCTGATTCTTTGTTTTTCTTTTTCTCAGAATCATCAGACTCAGGTACATCTGTGAGTGAGAGCAGATGTCAGTTTGAAGGTGGGAGTGATCAAAAGGTAATCTTTAAATAAGTTTTTCTTTCAAGTATGATATTATTTGAAAATTAGAAAGGCTATTTACAACAAATGAGTTGGCTTACTGGTTATGTTTAGTTTGATGTATTTTATTTTTTTCTTGAATGTTTAGGACCCTGTGCAAGAGCTACAGGAAGAGAGACCTTCATCTTCACATTTGGTTTCTAGACCATCTACCTCATCTAGAAGGAGAGCAGTTAGTGAGACAGGTATACATGAATATTTATTTGACACATTCACACAGCTTTTGATGTTCTTTCTCTAATGAAATTAGTGCTTTTAGACTTAATTATTCCCCTTTTTTGGTTGAGATGAATGAACTTCTGAGTTTTTTTCATTACTTAGCAGTATTTTTCTGGCTGACCATGACAGGCCCAGTTTACTCTGTCCCACTGGAGTTTATAGTTAGCCAGTTCTCTATTAAGAAAATGGGAGACAGGTATATAAACTCTATTTTCACCATTATTCTTAGTCACCTTAGCAGTTAAATTTTTACACTTGATCTTAGCCAAAAGGCCGAGAAGTGATAGCAGTTAAATTTTTTAATTGTTTATAATAAATGATAATACATACCTATGAGTTTTAAACAAAAACTAAATAGCATTTTCGAAATGAAGAGATAAAGAAAATAGTTGAGAACAGTTAGAGGAGAATGCTGTGCCTAAGGAAGTCATAGTAAATAAAACTGTATGATTCAGATGAAAGAGAATATCAGATCAGTGATATAGAATAAATGAACCTAGACCAGAATCTTGTACATGTGGGCAGAAGACAGGAAGGGCAGAGGTGGGACTAGAACAAATGGGTAGTTATTTGGGGAAAAGGTAAAATGACATCTGTACCTTATGGCAAATGAATTTCAAATGAGTTTAAAAGATAAATGAAAAACAGAATACAACGTATTTGAAAGACAGGTAGTCACTTTAAATTTGACTATTAATATCTGAATTACATAAATCTCCTCCCCAAATCAATAATGAAAACATTAAAAATTCAGATAGCTAAAAGGGCAGGCAGTTCACAAAAATTTCTTACAGTAAATACAAATGACTAATAAATATGAGGAGAGGGTGAATTTTGGAGATTTTAGCTTTACAGATAGGAAAAATGCAAAAAGGTATCCTTTTTGGTCTATCAAATTGTAGCAAAGATAAATTTTTACTCATCCTGTGTATTAGCACTGATGCACTATTGGTCTATAAATTGGTATAAGTTGGTATAAATTGATTAAATTTTTTGGATTATAAAAAGGCTTAAATGGCCTGGTACAGTGGCTCACATCTATAATCCCAGCAGTTTGGAAGGCTGAGGCAGCCAGTAGATCTCTTGAGGTTAGGAGTTTGAGACCAGCCTGGCCAATGTGGTGAAACCCCATCTCTGCTAAAAACACAAAAATTAGCTGGGTGTGGTGGCCAACACCTGTAATCCCAGCTACTCGGGAGGCTGAGGCAGGAAAATCGCTTTAACCTGGGAGGTGGAGGTTGCAGTGAACCAAGATTGTGTCATTGTACTCCAGCCTCGGCGACAGAACAAGACTCCATCTCAAAAAACAGAAAAGCTTAGAGTTCTTAACATTATCATAGTAATTCCACTTCTAGGAATCTAACCTAAGGATATAATACAAAATTCAAAGAGTTATATATAGAGATATTAATTGCAGCATTATTATAATTGCTGCCTGGCCAAGATCACCTTTTTTAAAATAGGGAATACAAACATGATTAAGAACTCACATGCAGAACTTGTGATCTAGTTGGAGATAAAACATAAAAATCCTTATTGGGATGTAAGAGTATTTGGAGAATTCACAGGAAGAGGAGATGACTTTAATTAGATAGGCCAAGAGAGGGAAATGGAATGAGCAAAGGTGTGAGAGTTTTACCTGTTTCAGGCATATGGATAATATTTAATAGCATAACCCTATTAAATACTTACATATAAGGGTACAGTGAACACCTTTGCACATACATCCTTAACTTTTATGCTCTAGGATAGAGAAATTGCCTGCAGAATGTTGTGTGATGTTATATTCTTACTGTATAAAAATGTTCTTTCTCAAATCTTTGATACTACCTCATTTTAATTTTTGTCATTCTCATGGGTGAAGAAATGATATCACTTCACTTTGCATTTCCTTGATCCCTAGGACATAGGAGATTTTTTTTTCCATTACTCAAGTACATGACTCAAGGTTTTTCATATGTTTATTAGTCATTTGTATTTCCTCTGTGACTTGCTTTTTCCTGTTTCTTACTTTAAAAAAAAATCCAGTCCATCTTGATTTGGTATAACTTTGTATAATCTGGATATTTTTTATTATATATGTTGCAGATATTATCTTCGCATCTGACCTATGCGTTTTAACTTTTGTTTATGGCATTTTATTTTGCCATGTAAATCTTGACATGTCTAATCTTCATAGTCTTTTTCTTGAGGGCTTTGCAGTATTATGAAATACTTTCCCACCCAGTATTTTTTGAGATGGAGTCTCACTGTGTTGCCCAGGCTGGAGTGCAGTGGCACGATCTCGGCTCACAGCAACCTACTTCCTGGGTTCAAGCGATTCTTCTGCCTTAGCCTCACAAGTAGCTGGGACTACAGGGGTGCACCACCACTCCTGGCTAATTTTTGTATTTTTAGTAGAGGCCAGTTTTCACCGTATTGGCCGGGTCTCAAACTCCTCACCTTGTGATCCACCCGCATTGGCGTCCCAAAGTGCTGGGATTATAGGCGTGAGCCATCGTGCCCGGCAAGAATATTTTCTTACAGGTACTTGAATGGTTTTGTTCTTTATATTTAGTTCTTTAATCCACCTGTAATTCATTTTTATGTCTAGTATAAGTTAGAACTCTCATTTATGTCCAGCAGATTTGGCTAATATTCTGACCCATTCAGAGGTAATTTATTTAAAATAAAATGGACAGTTTTTACTGGTTTTGATTTCTGTTGAAAATATAGAGTACTGAAGAGCCGGGCTCAGTGGCTCACGCCTGTAATCACAGCACTTTGAGAGGATGAAGCGGGGGAATCACTTGAGGCCAGGAATTGAGACCAGCCTGGCCAACATGGAGAAACCCTGTCTCTACCAAAAATAAAAAAAATTATCCGGGCATGGTGGCGTGTGCCTATAATCCCAGCTACGTGGAGGCTGAGTCACAAGAATCACTAGAACCTGGTAGGCGGAGGTTGCAATAAGCCAAGATTATACCGCTGCACCCCACCCTGGGTGGTAGAGAGTGACTGTGTCACAAAAGAAAAAAATGTAGGGTACTGAAGAAATTGAAACATTAAGAATGCCTTATAAGTAAATTAAACACTTTGGCTCTTTTGGGGAAAAAAAGATTGGCTCTTATTTTAAAGTTTGGTTTTGACAGAAAAAAAAAATCCTGGATTGGTTAATAGAAACTTTATTAGATGGATTGAATTGTGATGTATGGAGATAAAGTTCTGAAAGAAGAATAGAAAGCCTTTAAAAAATAGTGTTGTCAGCCTAGGCAACATGGTAAAACACTGTCTCTACAAAAAATACAAATATTAGTGAGGTGTGGTGGTACATTCCTGTGGTCCCAGCTACTTGGGAGGCTGCTGTTGAGGTGGAAGGATCACTTGAGCCTACGAGGCAGAAGTTGCAGTGAGTCGAGATTGCGCCATTGCACTACAGCCCGGGTGACAGAGTAAGACCCTTTATCATAAAAAAGTACGTAAACAAATAAATAAATAAATACACACATACAGTTAGTGTTCTACTGTAACTCTTAGATTGAATAAAACTGTTAACTTTTGAGATTAATTTTATTACAATTAAGTCTCTGTACAAATAGGGACTCAAAACAGCTCAATTTTCTAAATCACAGCACAGCAATTTATTTTTTTTCCTTACATATCCAGAAGAAAATTCAGATGAATTATCTGGTGAACGACAAAGAAAACGCCACAAATCTGATAGTATTTCCCTTTCCTTTGATGAAAGCCTGGCTCTGTGTGTAATAAGGGAGATATGTTGTGAAAGAAGCAGTAGCAGTGAATCTACAGGGACGCCATCGAATCCGGTAATGTTCTCATTTTCAAGGACTCTGTTACAGTCTAGTCCTGGCAGTCCTAATAAGCATATCAATAGAATATACATGTGTCTTATGAGATTGATGCAAAACACGGTGCTAAATTTTACTTTAAAATAAAAGTACTATATTGATCTCTACCTTCAGCCCCAGGTATTGTGAGAAATGTGGAAAATAGTGGAGTGACATTGGTATTGGTAAAATAGTAGTAGTAGTAGTCATTATCAGTGTCACTCTGTATTAGAGAATATTTGTGGATGACTGCACCAATAGTACATTAAATAAATTGGAGAGTTGTTTGAGAAATTTGAAGTTGTACTTTTTAAAAAATAAAGGAACAAAACCAAAAATTTAGTTCAGTTAACTGTATTAGCATTTTAAGGCAAATTTGTCTTGACTGTTTAGAGTAAAAATACCTTTAATTACAGCCATCAGCATAGTCTGAGCTTAACATTTGCCAAATAGGTCTAGACATCAGGTAAATTCTATTTACCAACACTGTGAAATACAGGTTTATTATTGCATGGATGACAGGAGAGTATTGGTACTTTCTGATGACTAATACAGAATTCCAGAATCTTAGTGAGCAGAATTTCTTGAGTTGTCACTGAAAGAAGTTCGGTAAAGAATTTTTTTGTTAACAAGAATGCTTGACAAATGGAATATTTTCGTTTGTATGTCTTTAAACAAGTTTGTCCAACCTACGCCCTGTGGGCCATATGGCGGGATGGCTTTGAATGTGGCCCAACACAAATTCATAAACTTTCTTAAAATATTATAAGATTTCTTTTCTTACAATTTTTTTTTCCTCATTCATGAGCTGTTGTTAGTGTTAGTGTATTTTACGTGTGGCCCAAGGCAATTCTTCTTGCAAGATTGGATACCTTTTGGAAACCAAAAGATTGGATACCTTTCTTGGTAATGTGGCAGTGTCTCATGGTCATTATTCTGGATATTGGTAATCATTGTGTAGGTCTCTAGAAGATGTGGGAATCAATTGTGATAGTAATCCTAGTCTTTTACCTTGTACCTATTCTTGTTACTTCCTGTATTATCTTTCTATTTTTCTCTTCCAAAGGAGTGACTGTATGAACGCATACCTGCCCTCTAGAGTTAGTACTGTATTTAACGGAGCTGTTACTCATGTGGACCGCTAGATGGCAGGATGAGCCCCTGCTCAGTCTGAGAGCAGGTTCTTCATTTGTAGATATTTAAGTTTATACCAGATTCCATAAAGTTGAGATGGCACTGGAGAGACAGTGGTAGTCAAAGTAGATATGGTTCTTGCCTTTAGGGGGAGATAGATCATTAATGATAAAAATGAAAACATTTAATAAATCCAGTGAAGAAAACAGGTTCTTGAGAGCAAGTATGTGTGATCTGAAAATTAGATCCAATTAAAACTTGATGAGTACACAAACTACAAGTTTGGTTAAAAAGATAATTACTATATCCTATCTATCTATTTATTTATTGAGATTGAGTCTCATTCTATTGCCGTGGCTGGAGTGCAGTGGTGCAGTCTTGGCTCACTGCAACTTCTGCCTCCTGGGCTCAAGCGATTTTCGTGTCTCAGCTTCCTGAGTAGCTGGGATTACAGGCGCCTACTGCCATGCTCTGCTAAGTTTTTTACTTTTAGTAGAGACGAGGTTTCACTGTGTTGGCCAGGCTGGTCTTGAACTCCTGACCTCAAGTGATCTGCCCGCCTTGGCTACCCAAAGTGTTGGGATTACAGACTTGAGCCACTGAGCCCAACACCCTATTTAATGTATAGTCTTTTTGTTTGTTTGTTTGTTTTTATTTTTTTAATGTATAGTCTTTGTTAAAGTTATATCAGAATTCTAGCTGAATGATATTTGGAGTCTTTGTTCTTGCTTTGTACCTGGACACTGCCTTGTGACTGATACAGCTTTGATGAGTGGAAGAGCACCAGGTTTTCTGTTTTGAGTTGAATTAGGTAAAACAACATGGACACATGTGGAGTGGTTTTAAGGAGTGGAGAGTTTAATAGGCAAGAAGGAGAAGGCAGAAGGAAGAAGCTCCCCCTTAAAGAGATGAAAGAGGAGACCTCACATTCTGAGGATACCAGCCAGTTTTCTGTAGTGGCTCAGGGGATTGATTTAACCAGGCATGATATATATGTAGCCCTCGAGAAAACTGGCCCTCCCACCCCAGTCCTTTAAGATGCAAATGCAGGGCACCAGTGCTGTTTTACATTCATAGGGAAATGGGGGGGGGCATGTTGTTAGGCACAGATCCTGGCAAGGGCAAGAGGCTGGGGCTTTTAGGCTAGACAAGGTACATTTTTGGAGCAGCGGAAAAATCTTCTTAAGGACCTCTTTTCCTTTATTTCTTAGTAAATAAAGGAAACCACATTATCTGAGTTGAGTAGAACAGTAATTCTTTTTTTCTTTTTGTTAGCCCAGTCCTGAATTCTCTTAAAAAATCCTATCTGTTAAAAATCTCTCGTTTTCCAAGCTAAGTCCCTAGTTGTGAAAGCTTTTAGTAGGGCCAGTTTTTTTTTTTTTTTTTTCCTTAATTATAATTTCCCTCATTTGGGAATGTGGTAGTCATCACTGGGTGTTATTCACCAGTTTGTGAAAGTGCATTCCTCTCCCATCTTTTCTTTCTTTGGGGTTTAAGAAATTGTGGGAAACTAAGACTGTTCTAGACTGCATTCCATGCAGTTTATATGATGATCTTTTGTTATAGCTAAGACAGGGGGTTTTTAATAACTTGCTTCTACAACTGTCATAATTGAAACTGAAACAATTCTAGGTATTTCTGACTACAAAAATCTAAGATCTGGCCGAGCATGGTGGGTTATGCCTGTAATCCCAGCACTTTGGGATGCCAAAGTGAGCGGATCACGAGGTCAAGAGATCGAGACCATTCTGGCCAACCTGGTGAAACCCCATCTCTACTAAAAA